AAACCCAACCCAAATTATTTTTGAAAAATCTTGAATTACGTAAAACTGAAAATAGTCCGAATATAGGCGTGTTTGGATTCATTTTAATCAGCAAAGCCTCGCCAATCTATTGGCGATATTCTCACGACAGTACCATTAATAATATAAAAAATGCTATTTCCATCAGTTGGATGTACCGAAACGATCGTCCATTTGATGCTCAATCCCCAGGTGTGTAGGACCTTTCCTATCCACAGTTAAGTTCTCTGTTACAAAGACCAAATCCAGCAAGTGTCTTTCTGTTCGACGACACCCTCCACAATAGGCGAATACTTTCGCAAATAAGCGTGTTCCTGTTAGGCAGGGAGAAAAAAAAACACCTTTACCGACGTCTGTGACCCGCAACGCTGAATTTAATTACCCATACACGACTCCCACCGGGGGGAGACAGAAACACGTGGACCGTTGGAAGTTCGCCGCGGAACCGATCGACCTGTACAGATTTCCCTTTCGTTCTGCCCTTTATGGAACGCGTTGCGGTGACACTGCCACCGCCGCGCGCCTGTTTGTATTCATACGCAATCGTGCCGGGGATAAATCGCGCCGGCTGGACGTTCTGAACGCAGCTGCGATTCCGTATATGATCCTCCGCGTCCATAAGAAACCGTTTCCCGCAACGCGTGGCATTCTCTCGCATGTAAATTCGCTAAACAACCGTGTGATCGCGGACGACCCGTTCCAATAGGAACGACGCCGCGTTATAGTCAACATTTTTGACCAGGACTTAACACCGCACCAACCAAGTTTCTGATAATACTAATTTTTAGTACATCTTTTCCAAAATTTTGTACGTCTTCTATCGAAATCCCAGGTATATTCTAGATCCCTCACAGGCGGGATAATGCTAGAAAGTAAATTTTAATCATCGCCCAAGACGGGTATCGTGAATATCGAAGAAATAAAATGGAGGCGACAGAGGATCCAAAAGTTTGGTAAGCCGTAGTCACGGAACCTATTGTGCACGCTAGATAATACAGGTCTCTTCCCAAGTTGAACAAACGTTTCTCTTTACAAAACCGAGACCCGTTACGCGGAGTGTCGGATATCTCGGCGCCAGTATTTCATCCGCATGAATTCCTGCGAGCGTGTATCAGCGGATTGCTCTTCTCGTTCAGCCGCGAGTAGTCAGGGGCCGGCTATATTCGCACAACGAGTGGGTAAATCCCTCGGATGCCTATGCGTGTTTTAAAGAGCATACCGCGAATAACTGCACAAAGGATGCGAGGAAATGGGACAGCTTTGTTATTTTAATCTTCTGGCCTGATTGCGGCCGTATCTATGGGAAAACTCAGCATTTTTCCTATCCGTGAGAAACTTATCAAGCCTTAAGATATGCCTGAGAAGGTATCTGATCGCGAACTATTTGCATACCACTGTGTGTATATCGCCTCAAATTCCGAACTCTGTAGCTTTCCTACTCTGGTTCTGTGCTCCTTCAACCCTTTCACAACCAAACTCGCTAAACTGATCGATCTAACAGAAACCCGATCAAATCCCATCTACGTAGGGCCTAGAATATAATCAAATCCGTAACGAATCTCTAAAATCCTCAATCTCAGTGATCCCAAACGTAGACAATGAAGATATTCGATTGGACCAAACTTGTTTTCGTTTCATCGATATCATAACGTATCGATTCGCGTCTATTTAAATTGAGTTTGCCGCCTGGAACAGTGAACCCGATCCCTTCAACGCGGTGAAGTCCCGCGCAGCCGTGATAAAATCAAAAAATCGAAGGCGCATTCGTTCCAATGGAACGGATTAACGAGCGTTTCTTGTCGCTTTCGAAAGCACGGGCCTTTCAGCCGTGTCAAAGCGGCGAGACGCCGTTAGTTCCACGCTGAAACGTTCGAAAGCACACCTCGAGTCGAGGTTTTTTCCGCGGAGCCAGCCTCGACACGTGTAGAACAACGACGATCCACGCGCAACGCGGCATTTCACGAACCAGAAATTCTCTTCTCGGCGTACACCACGGCTCGCGACGTTATCACAACGCGGTTCCCCGTCAATGTATTCAAGAATTCCAGAACATTTTCCCTCGACGAGATTTCGAACGCGCCGGCGAACGAGTACACGCGACCGTTGCACAGATAAATCTCACGTGCACCTACGCTCAGCCCCGAGAGTCGGGATTTGCCTAAGGGCGGTCCAAGATTTTTCATCGCCGAGATGGTGTCGAAATCCGATCCAAAACGATTTTCAATCGGTGCATATCCGACATGCTTGCGCAAGGGTTCAGTTTCATCAGGTTTCCACCTACCGAAAGTCTCGATCTTGAACTCTCGGGGTAGTTGAGTCTCAGTAATAGGTAATCTAACTAGGATTTAATTAACTTCAATCTACATAGGGCCAGATCACCTCTTTTGAAGAATATCAAACGATACCCCAAGAGTTAGGGCTATAGGCTCTAGCGACAATTTAATCTCCTGACCTCATCCTCGCCGCAAATTCTCTGCTCTTGGGGTTACTGTCTCAGAGACTTTATTAACGAAGGTTTGCCCCAAGAGAAGAGAGATAGCGCGGCAGAGTAAAGTGGAATTAATCCCTCGGTGATCTTAAGTGGCTAATTGAATTTGCGTCCACTGTGGAAGGAACCCGTTGGCCCTGTTGACGTTTACACGAACCTAACTGGCAAGTCATGTGAAAAAAGTACATTCCGTGGGACATGCTTCAGTTTAAACCGGAGTAATCGGATATCAGGATCAAAGGCTAAATGCAGAAAGATACTCTAAAGCTTAAGGGTACGAACAACAGATAAGATTCTGGGATTAAACATTAGTGGACTAGTCGTTTGGTAGCAAGCACTTATTTACAATCCTGGAAACGGAGGATGTGCTCCAGATTATGAGTTTAAGTTGCAAGAATATCTTTCTTCCATAAAGGTAACGACCCAACAGGCAATTTTCATCCTAGCATGATAACTGGTTAGATATCCCCAACTGGTAGCAGCCATCCAGCACGATTTATGGGCCACCTTATAAGGCACGTTCTTAAAAGTAATCTTATGGGGTATGTTGGATCTTAATGGGTATGTTTAGCCTAAACGTTTCACAAAGTAACGCCAGCCTAATAGCCAGATGGGAACGCCTATAAAAGTAGACTCAACGTTTGTAATTTCGGTACCATTCTAGAAGACTATAACGTTGTCCTTTGGAAACGATTACTAGACGCATTTATCCTAATTCGTCAGATTCTACGGTCAGCGTTAAAAACGACTCATTTTTCAGAATCCTCTGCTATACACATACTATGAAAATAACTCGCGCCCTTAGGTGTATCGGTGTATAGTTATGGCGCTACTCCCCGCTGACCGTGAATATCACGAGATCAGGAATAAGAGAGTAGTTGTTCGTATTTCAGCGTTGAAAGGCGAAAGAAACATTCCTGATAAATGTATTCTCTTTCGTAATGTTAATAATTCACGGTTCCATAATTCATGTTTATCGGCGGCCACATACGGACTACGCGTCTAACCGGCTCATTTTTTTCCTTTGTTAATCAACAACGAATAAATTTATTTATTTGAACGGAAACTACCATCTAGATGCTAACACACCTCGCTATTTATGAATTCACTTTCCAATCGGGCACCGAGTTGCCTCGAGGCGTTTGAAAATTTTGGATATTCTACAAAAATAAATATTGTTCTCGAAATAGTTTCCTTCGTCTCGGGAATGCCAGATCGTATCATAGGCGACAGGGCCACCCGTGGCGATGCAACAAGAAACTCGAAACACGAAATAAGAGAAAAACCGACACGTCCAATGTTGTTGCGGGAGCAGTTCCGTCACAGGTGGCCTAAGACTTCTAGAAAAGCACTCTAAATATCACCGGGTACAAGAGAAATGACAGTTTAAACGTTGCCTTGATAACTCTCTTCCGTAGCTGGTCGTTTCGCGTGCGACTCGTAAATCGTATTAGCATGACACGTAGCAAAAAGTGTTCGCGAATGGTACACAGGCTCCCAGTCAAAGCGTTTCCAGCCTCTAAATGGATAATGAGCACTAAATCACTTGCTAAATGTTACGCACTGGCGTCGGTAATGCGACTGTGGGCTGAACAGGCGTAATTGCTCATTCTGTTTGACCAATAGAATCGATCGGTACTTGGGTTACCATCGATCGTAAATACTTTGTTACGTGGGAATTGTCCGAGCCTCTATTTTCTACGGTGGCTTTTCATGGTTCTGTCGGTGGGCCGCGGCGGAGATCAGTGATAAGCCTGGATAAAGGTTAGAGGTTGCCCCAAATAAGATGGGGAGGATTTCAGCGTTGCATTGTCTGTTCCTTCTGGATCAAAGCAAGAGATGCTTCTTAGTTCATCCGCAGATATTTGCTCCTCTATCAAGATTTCTATCAGTAACACGGGCCACGTTGGTATTGATCATCCTAGCTCTACCCATCTATAAGAATCCCTAGGTATAAGTAGTTTGAATCAGTTCGGTGGAATATGTCACACTGCTCTAGTCTCGAGAATAGAATACCAGGTCACAGCGCTGTAACTTAGAAATAAGTACCAATAGGCTATATTCTGATGCGAACTTCCAGTCAACTGGACTCTACTACCTCAACTGAGCTTATAAAGGCTTGTGCCCTGGCTGGGATCCAACATTAATGCTCTTTTACCTATGGGAGTCCCCTGATTCGGACCACCAAGAATTAGACCCTAAAAGCGATGGAAACAGACGAGGTATACGAGTAGTAACATCCAACGTAATCTAAATATTCGTCACCAAAATACGCGTTGTTTGTATTTTGAAACATTAAAATCCTCCAATCGGTTCAGGAGTTATGACTTTTCACATCATATTTTCGGAAAAGAATTTTTTTCTCGAAACTCCGTAGGATTTCGTGGGTATATGTTTGTAATTGACCCCCGCAACCGAAAATAATTTTTTCAGAGCGATTTGAAATTTTTGAGGTGTAAGGTCTACTCGTATACTTGATAAGTGATGAACTCACCATTTCGTCGAGGCTCTTCAGGTCATTGGTGACGATCTGAGGCTGGGGTCCGTAGATGAGGCAGGGTTCCTCCTGCTGCATGTCCGCGTACTCGTCGTCGCTTTCCTCGTTCCCGCCGTTCCCGTGGGCACCGTTCGCCGCCTTATTCTCCGCGGCGATTTCTCTGTCGATCTGTCTCTCCATCTGCACCAGCATCGGCGCCAGCATGCCGAATTTCGCACCCCTCCTGGCCACCTCTAGCAAGCAGAGTATCACGTGGCGCTCGTTCTTGCGCATTATCAGGTCGTCGGTCTCGAACAGCAGACACTCGATGATGCCCAGGCTGTTGCGGCACCAGCCGATGAAATTCGAGACGTTGTCGCGGGCGAAGAAGGTGCCGGCCCTCGCGTTCGGCAGGAAGGCCACGTCGCTCAGCTCGCTCATCGGCAGCGCCAGCGACGAGGTTATCGAACGTGTCATCGAGATTTTGCGCGCCTGACGACGCGCCACATACTCAGCCGCCGACTTGCGTACGTTATTCGAGTGCTGGAATCAGAAACAGATCGTACCAATTAGATGGGGATGATTCGCCAACTGATCACCGCGAGGACTTTTAGGAATCGGGGGAAGAAACACTCATAACGTGTTGCATCACTTATCAAAATTTTAAATCGTTAGATCCGCTGAATAGTAGGACCACGAAGAGGATGTTTTCATATTGGTCGAATCCACGAAGCGTCTGGGGCCCAGGGAAGTCTGGACCTCCATTAGACGCAAACTTAATTAGCCTTTAAAGGCCACTTCCTCTATTGCAGTCACTATCTCATAGTTTACAGCATCGCTAAGTGCCTGTAATGTAGCTACAGCCTGTAGGACAGGTATTTAATTCTGAAAGTTAGGTGGGTTCTACTCGCTATAACTTTCAGCCCCTATGACTTGGCAAAGTCTACATTGATCGTGATTCTAGGGGTACCCACGCTAGCACTTGTGTTAATTCGTGGATCAGGAACAGAAGTTTTATTCCAAAATTCCACAAGTGCATCTTCAATACTAACTCAGAATAAGCTGATCAGTGCCTTGCGAAGTACTCTTTGCTACCTAACCTCTACCCAGACCCAGAGATCCTAAAAATTCAATGGTCTACCGTTGCAATTCCCAAAGATCATCACCGATAACAGCGAGTCGGGTAGACACGAATTCAACACGACCGGAATAAATCTCTGGCAGCCGCTTAGCTGACATTCACCGGTCGAGCAAGCGTGGCTGGTTTGCTCCCGCTGATTAAAGAGTCAAACAGACACCGATAGCATCTTAACACCCGCGAAGCTAATTGTTCCATTAATAATAACGCCGCGCGCGAGTCCTAATGCGTTTAACATTTACGCGGACGATAAATACTCGGCGGGCAACGAGGCTCTCCCGGCTGCAGCACTTTTATTGCAAACGCTGGCGGCTGCTTAAGTAACCGCGTGATAATTGGATATCGGGATGATGTAAATGAGCGGTGGAGCTGCACTCCGCGCCGTTCGACTCCGTCTAATAACAGGTTCTGCCACGGTGTCTATCGTTTAATATCGCTGCGAAGGACCTGTTATTTTCCAAAGCGACTAACGGCGGCGGGGACGATTTTTCTACGGGCGATTAATTAAAAGTGACCCGATAGCGCCGTGGAATTACGCGAGTCGACGCCTCTGGACCTTCGTACAGCATCGTCGAGCATAAGGTCCCTCATTCTTCGGAGCTCGTTGGCTGGGAATAAGGGCGTCCATTGTTTCTCAGTGAACGAGCTGATAAATATAATTCTGTTTTGCGGGTGTTTCGATGTGTGAGACTTGGACGATGTTTACGAGCGAAGGAAGGAGTCCCGACAGGCCGACAGTCCCTGATCGAAGACGTGTGAACCCCGACAAAGCGCTGCCGACTCCGTAGTCTATCGAGATCCGCCTTGATCGTACGAATATAATTACGAAAAATCTTCAGCTGTTTCTAAAGGAAATTATTTTTATCGAAACGATGTCGTAAGAATTCAATCATTTTTAGAGCTTGAGTCCCCGTTAGAGCTCAAGAGATAATTCAGACGTTTCCTGAAATTCATTTCGCCGAGAAATCCTCGTCCATGAATCACGGTGTTTGCCGTTTCATTCAGTCCGTTAATCTCGTTTTGATTTATTGCTCAACAGGAGACCGTATGGACTGACTTATACACTTCGAACCCTATCGCGGCGAGTTGTGTACACGCGCTGTTTACACGGGAATTTGATCAATGGGGCAATTCTTGCGTTCTGTGGGCTCGTGGGACATCTGCAAGCCTTCCGAGATTGGGGCTCGTCCTGCGTTTTATAATCCCGTACAGGATAAACAGTTTGGATCGTTTCTAGGGCACTGGTCTGCTTTGTGCTTCGGAAAAATTCAATGCAGTATCGAGGACATAGAGAACTGTTTTTCGAACGACGATCATTCAAATAAATTGAGATCAGGTTCGAATAACAGCATTTTAGATAGATCGTTCTTGAATGCGTAACGCAGATTGATGCAACAAGCGAGGGAATATTGTTCACGTATACTAATCTCGCATTAGTGTTATTTTAGAGATTCTATTAACGTTAAATGTCAGAATCTTTTCACTTAAATACGGTAAATTATTTTTGTTTAAAGAATCAATCTAATCGGAGTTAATTTCAGTTATACATAGAATATAATGACAGATGCGATGAATCGTAGAAAACTTGTCGAGTGTCGCGGTTCTGAATTCTGACTCATCGCTTTGAAGCTGGATACAAAAAAGACCATTTCGCCAGAAAGGTCAACGGTGGCTACAAAGTATCCAATGTCGCCAGATTTCCATTAACGCAGCGTGTTTGAACTGCACTATGAGTAATCTTACACTCGGTCCACAACGGAACTGGATTTTTATCGACAGATGCGGTTTCGACCGCGACAGAAGGCACTCGTGCCTTTGACAAATGCAAAGCTGTACGCCGCGGCGGCGTTTGCCACAAAATCCCACTTGTTTCGATCGAAAATCACCCGTACGATAAATAACCGAAGCGAGAGGAGCGGTGAAATTCAAAGACACGATGTATAATAGCTAGTTAATTGCTGGCAACTTGCGAAATTTTAATGCTAATTTTTTTCCTTGGCTAATTCAAGCGCTTACGAGGTCAATGTTACGCGGATTATTGCCTTCTCATCTCACTTTCACCGTACCACATACTCGACGCTCGTGTTTAACGTCAAACTCCACGCTTAGACTTTTAGATTTTGCATCATTCAATTTTCACGGTTTTCAACGCATGAAGAGAACAATTTTGAAACAGCTTTTTTTAGTAGAATAAAAGTCGCATGTGTAACATCAACAAATAATTTTTTACTACGTCGTGTTCACTTCGTATAATTTTCTTTGCGATTGACGTTTGTTCGACGTCGTTGCGTGTGAATTAATTTATGTAATAGGCGATAAGTAACAATTTAAAGATAGACGGTTTATGGATGTAATTTTACAACGACTGTACTGTTTGCACGGTTCACGACGCGTATCTGCCAGTGGCACTGTTAATCCAACCAGGCGACTTGATAAAACAGTTAAAGAGGTCAGCTCGCAGACGCTGATCGATTGTTCCGTAATTTTTCATTTCCTGTCTCGATATGCTACTACGAGTTTCAACGCTCGTCGCCCCGAAGACGTTCGCAACCGGTCTTTTAACCGTTCCACGGAACCGACAAGAATTCTCTTCAATTTTTTTTTTATTATTTGTCGTAATTTATCTGAACGACGACGACTTCGAAATTAATCCGTTCGTCGTTTAATACAGGGCTATAAATCCTTAAACCACTTAGTTCTTTAATTAATAATATGAAACTCACAATCTGTGGGTTTGTGACTTCCGTGTAACTTGTACGATTCTTGTCCAGTCCGGACGAAACCTTGTTTAGTTTTTCTCTGTGGACTAGTGGAAAGTGTAGTTTTCTAAATTGAAAAAAGTTCGAGTGGATCAGTTAGGTTTGTAGTGTCCACTTTCCAATGTTTTTTTGTTAAATTTTAGATTTAAAAAATGTGGTAACGCCGTGTATGGATCGATTAGTCATAGTTTTCAGGTTGTTCCGTCGAATCGAGGTCGTAGATTGTCTGCGGATTCGCGATTGGCGAAAAGACATCGTGTGTAATGCTGGGCCCAGAGGAAAGACAAACACGGAGCGCCTACTCGATTCCCGATTCGATAGCTGGATCGCCAGCTGCGCGGGCGAAGCGAAACGGTTGGCTCGTTACAGTAGGCCGTTGACACATTCGCCTAATCTCTATATTATCCCCGGGGAGGTATCGAGCCGGGACGGCCGACCGGATGCTGTTAGATAGAATTTTTACGAGTGCGCGAGTCGGCTGGAACCGCTCGCATACCATCGCCTTATGGGCTCCACGTGCGCGCGTGCAGCCAGTCCACTGAAAACGAGACACACTCATCGACGAACCCTTAAGGGGGCATTCTAGTCTAGACGTCCATTTTTTACAGTCTTGGGAATTTACAAAAAATTTTAACTCTGCCGCTTTTATCGAATTTCGTCACACGCTTTTTCAGTGAGCACGCCTTCATGGACGCCACGATTCCAACCGATCTGCTTCTTCAAAATGAACAAACCCAACACCATTTCATTCAGTATGATTATAACTATGGCTGACATCAAAATTGTTTGAAAATACTGGAAAACAACACTTCGACAGCACTTTAAAGATGGTTTATCGATTTTCTGATTCATCTTTTGTTTATAAAAATAAAACAAAATAGCAAAAGCGCCGGATTTTGAAAATTTTGATACGGGTGATAGAGTCAGACGTGATGAAGATTTCCTCCCAATTTGGTGCCAATCGGTCAACCAGAACTGTTTCAAAAAATTATTTAGGAACGTAATGTTTACTTATTTTGGACACCCAAAGAAAAATAAATAATTTTCTCATTTTGCATCGTGTTAAATTTAAAAAATGACATTTATACAACAAGCAAGATGCTGAAGCGAGGCTCGACGAGTTACTGTTGCGGAACCTAACCTAAAATGTTCAAACACCGGCGAAGTCTCGACGGTTAGCCGGCACGAAACTAGAAATTGCGAGAGAAAACAATGTCCGAGCGCAGAATTGGAATAGGGCATAACTGTTCCTCGAATTAATTTCCGTCCGTCCGCGTGCTATCTTCCGCGAATTTCCGAAATCGATCGATCGATCGTCGACCCATTTGCGCGCGCAATTATCGATTGCAATCATGGCGGCGGCCGAGTTCGAGTCCGGTCGTACGACGCGTTTAATAAGGCCGCTCGAAGTTGCAATTATTTCATGAGGATCGAATTTAAGCGACTCGTTGGCTCTCGGGGGTTCGTTCAAGAAGAAATTAATCGGTCCGGGGTCAAGAATGAAGGCACTCGTAGATCGCGGTCTTGCAATTTATTTCAATTACATCGTCCAGTCGTTTTCGTCGACTCGAGTTGCAACGGTCTTGGTTTCTCGATATCGCGGCCCTAATCCGGGCGTAGAGGACTCAGAACTGAAATTAATCAAT